GCAGAGCTCCCAGATTTCTCAAAGTAAGGTCTTTTGCTTTGCTTTGCTTTGCTTTGCTTTGCTTTGCTTTGCTTTGCTTTGCTTTGCTTTGCTTGCTCTGAAAAGCACATGAATGCTTTTCAGAGCAAGCAAAGCAAACAACAGTATTGACTACAGTAAAGGACTGGCCAATGGAAGAATCATGTGCACCTATTCATTGACTATGAAGTATTTCCCTCTCGCTCTGACCGGTGGATGCCTCTAAAATCCCCCATGGCTAAAAACAAAATGGCTGTTCTCTTACCATGTGACAGAGATTATTTACCATGTGTGCAGATTTAAAGTACCAAGCAATTCCTCAGCTTTAGGAAAGTGTATCAATATGCTAGATTTCAGGTAGCACAGACATGACAATTTGAAGAAAATTCACCTGGACTCTTTTGTGTGGAGATCATTCACAGGAAAGATCCTGATAGATACTCGCCTATTCTTTCTGAAATCAAAGGAGAACATCCTGTCCTGGGAATCTTGCTGTCTGATTTCTGAACAATCACTTAACAAGCAAACAAATCTCTCCCACAAACCTAAAACTATTAATTCTTTGACTGCCTTTAACGGAATTGTTTTTGCTACTTCATATTCTCAGCTTTAGTCCTATGCAGTATGTATGGCATGGTGTAATCATGTCTCATTTTCACTTCTTCTCCTTAGCCTTATCATAGGATGCAGGTACTCATACTGCAAACATGAGCCTGGCCTACTTCCCTTTCTCCTTTCCATTGGTTAAAAAAATACAGTAATAGTTACACGTCCTGACAGATATTTTATTTGTGGCACAAAAAACTGAGAAGTGAAAACATTCTTAGTGCATACAGCATAAAATTTCTAAAACTGGAGGGGCTTGCATCTAATAATTTTACTTGTACCATCCAAATGAAGTAGAGTCAGATTTCTGTCTGCACTGCCAATCAATACAACATGACTGAGAAATATTTTTACTTTTGACCAGAGGAAGCAGAACAATTTGAGGCTGTTCAACAGAGTTATGAATGACAGAAGAGGCTTGCTCATTCAAAAGGGGGGTCAAACTAGTCTAATGACTTGTTTTGAACAGTGGTCATCCAGTTGCCTCTGGGAAGTCCACAAAGAGGGCATAAAGGCAGAATCTGTCCTTCCCTGTATACCCCCAGAATCCGGTGCCCAGAGAAATGCTAAATCTGAATATGGTACAGTGATTGAGAACTTGTAGTCCTCCAGTTATTGTTTCATGTAACACCCATTACTTCCCACTCTTGGCTGTGCTGGCTAGGGCTGATGGGGGTTGCCATCCAACAACATCTGGAGCAGGTGTGCATATAACCAAGACACACATTCCTTGAGACTACCCAAATTCTAATTCCTGGTATGGAGGTTACATTTAATTATCATGGCTCATAGCTGTGTGAATTAGATATCATGTGTTTTTTTTTCTGAATCCAGAACCAATCATTGTAATGAGGTGACAATGAATTTTACTATTAAGTAAGGTTCAGTAAATATGTAAAGTTTTCATACTATTGATACTTAGATACATTTTAGAATGTCTTCCTTAATAAATTAAAGGCCACATCCTCTTCAGATTTTGCCCTGATTTTTTTACTTAATCTTTTCTGAATCTTTTTCTGGATTTATGATACCACTGTAAAATAGGAATAAACATGTATTTGCTTCAAAAATGCATAAGGCTGTGCCCAGATGACAAATTAACAGACCAAATTCCTTAGGAACACATGTAGCTGCCATCTCTCCATCGTTCTTCCCATGCCTGAAAATGAAAACCTTTGATTTCCTAATGGTCAAGGAAAGACAGAGACTTCCAGTTCTCCTGATGTCTTTTGTGCTAGAGAAGCTGTAGCTCAAACTCCAAGTCCCAACAGCCCCAATAGCAAAGTGATGGTGCACTTACCATTTCTATCAAGGGAAAAGACACCAGGACTCACGTGTATAATGCCACTGAGGATTCTAGGATTAATTTCCCAGTCTATTCCCAAGAAGGAAAAGAATGTTGTGTGTGCCATTCTGACTGAAGAAGAATCATAGGGGCTTTCTCACCTAAAGGAGCTGCATTCTTCTACAGCTGAGAACCCTAAACCACTGCTTCCTTCCTCCTACCCCAATGAAAACTGATGTGGATCATTGGGGCAATGGGAAAAGGAAGCCACAATGGAAACTAACAGGCTCAGAACCAGTAGAGCCCTGTAGTTCATAGGAATGTGCATACAAGCAAAACTCAAGTTGATCAAAGTTCTCCAAATCTCTATTCCAAGTGGGTTTCACCTTGTTTCCATGCCACATTGTGAGCTGCGTTTTTTCTTTCTTTTCACAGAAAGTATGAGTCCATTTCACCAAATGTAGGGTTCAGTTTTGCATACCTTTGTGATTTACAAACTTGTCTCCCATTGATTAAAGCATGTTTGTGTGCATTTTTCAAATATTCACTTGGTGAGGCAACAAGGGTCTTAGGAATGACTCTGTAAGTTCAGAAAAGTATGAACTTTGACTGCACTTTATGTTCAAACCTGTGTTCAATCCAAACGGTGAAAACTGGTTAAAATATATATACGTACTTAACATGAATTGCACGATCATCCTTGTTCAAAGCTGGTAAACTGGACTCTGTTAACGCTGATCCTACTCTCACAACATTTGATCTGAGTAGTTTTGACAGTGCCTCTTCAACTTCTGTTTGCCTGGTTCAACAAATTTTCACTTCTGATTCTGTATTAAAATTTCTAGGCAAAACGTCCTTTATACGTTGGCTTTGACTGTTGTGTTTACTGTTCCACTTGTCTAGCAAGTTTCTAGGTAGCAATCAGCAATTTCTCCTTTTGTGTGCTCCATGACAAACTGTTCTACAGAACAATCATTTCTCAATATTGTAACCACAATAATAACCCAGCCCTCCTAATGTCCAACTGGCTGCCAAGAGAAGAAAGATGATGGCAAACTCGAGGCTGGCCTAAGCACACCAGGTTGCTTTCCACAACAGTCACAGTATCCTTGGTTCCTTCTTATTTATTTTATAGCAGCCATGGTGTTCCTGCAGTCATGGCTATGCTCTGATTGACATGAGCTTAAGCAGTTGTAAAGCATGGAGCAGCAGCAAAGGAAAGGAGAGAACACGTGGTATTAGACCATCTCTCAAAGAGGTGTGACCATTATGACCATGAAGGGATGCACAGGAATTGTGCCTGTGTGCACAAAACAGTCAAGCACACCCTGTTTACAACTGAAAATATGAACACAAGCAGGAAAAGGTGTTCTCCAGTATTTGTTGTAAATTCCTATTCATTCAAAAATTGCAAAAAATACAAAGAAAAAAGTGTTCAAATTAGTTTTTTTTAAATAAAGTTTCACACTTTATTTTATAAGGTGAAATCACATGACTCTGAAAAATACTCATTTATTTCCTCGGGTTTTACATTTGTGCATCCCCAACAGTGATCACAAGTACTCGTGGAAATCAAAGGAGAGATGGGCATCAATGCTCGGAAATCTGGGGAAACGTAGACATCCTTGTTTGTCCAGGTCTACAATTGCCTAGCTGAACCACTGACAACACTCCTGAAAGGTAGGTTAGGCTAAGAGAATGTAACTGGTCTAACGTCACCCAGTGAGTTTCACTGCTGAGCAGGGCTTTGAATCTGAGTGAGACCAGTAATGAAGGTCTGGAACATTTTAGAAACTGAAAATTCTGAGGCAACCTTTCAGTTCCTCACAAGGTTCTTCTCTGGCCCAAAGTCGGCTCTCTCTGATCAAGGTGTTTGGAGCAATACTATTGCATCATATTACTTTTTAGGGCCATGTCTTGCCCTCTCCCTGTTTGCATGTGTCTCTTTTGGCAGGGAATTTTCTTGCTTTTTCATGTAAGCTGACTGTAGCTGCAGTAGCAAACAGGGCTGGGATGTCTGAGTGACACAATTCTGAATTAACCATTTCACAAGCTACTTCTAAAATAAAGAAACAGTCAATGAAAAAAAATGCCAAAAAGGGGGTGGGCAGGATATATGCTTGAATTACCGGTATTCCCTGTAAAAGACAATCACCACCTGCTGCTTAATCTCGCAATAGCAAGCAACTTGTCATTGAACAGTTAATTTTAGCATCTCCAGCTTCCTGTATCATATGGAATGCTAGCAGGCTCCATTCTCAAATATCGTGCAGACTTTTTACCCACGTACAGTTAGCATCTGGCGCGTGGGGTGTCATCATTCCACTAAGCAACTGGAAGTACACGATATGAATGTGCAAATTTGTTTCTGTCAGTAAAACAACCAAAAATAAACAGAAAGTAAATCAGTGAAAAGAACCAGGAAGGGAAAGACTCCAAATGATCTTTCCACAATATCCCATACAGAGACACTGTTAATCAATAAAGACTACAAAAATCAAGTCTCACTTCTGGTTGGTATTTATTCCTTGGAATACATGCTGTCGTTCAGTGCTCCCTGCTTTTAGCGCAAGCTCCCAGCAGAAATAACACATGTCTCCAAAGCAACTTCTGAAAAGCACAGTCAGGCTGTTTAACTGGACTTCACTGTGGACATGCAAAAAGACTATTTATATTCATTAAAAGTTGGCAAACCCCTTCTTTGAAACCAGTGGTCCAGACACAAAGACTCCACTTAAGTTTGGTCCTACTATTTGTTTCTGTAAAGCAGCTCTGGAATGGAATTATCTGGAGAACACAGAGATTTTAAGTTTTGCCCTCCTTACATTCTCTGCACTATTTTTTAATCTAAAGAGAGAAAACCAAGTTAATGTTTAAACACACACACACACACACATATACAGAGAGAGAGAGAGAGAGAGAGAGAGAGAGAGAGAGAGAGAGAGAGAGAGAGAGAGAGAGAGAGAGAGAGAATAGACAACCTTAAGCAAAATCAAGTCAGTAGTTCACAGCCCAGTGAAGGACAGATGTGATCTCAAAGCACAAACATATTTATTACCACTACTAATACTGTTAATATTATTATTCTTACCATTTGAGACTGGCTTCGTGGACAGCCATTGATATCTTCAACCTTTTCATTTGCTGAAGGAAAACAGTGGAGGTTAAAAAAAATTAAGAGTAAACAACAAGACCACAAAAGAGAAAGCAAACAGGCACTGAACTTTGCTCTGAGCCCGCTGCAAACCTTTAGCCACAATCTCTCTTGTTAGCAGCGGTTCCTTCACCATGCACAAATCATGCAAAGGGGAAGTACAAAGGAGGTGGCTACTAATTCCCCAGCTCCTGCCAAATGACTGCTGACATGAAATCTTCCACAATTGTCTTTGTGGGATCAGGATACAGTTTCAAGGCATCTCAGAAAATATAAACCGCTCTGGCTAATAAAATGCACACATTGGAGACATATGGCTTAATGAAGCATTCGTTTCAGACAATGCCAAGTGTGTGAAACACAGCTCCTTGGCCCTCAAAAGAATGGTGAAGCAGACACATACAAACTTATACAAATTACCTTTTGTGTGAGGCAGAACGAACTAATATGATGGGAAGTAAATAAATATAAAGTGACAGCATCAAGGCTTTCTGTTTCATGCCCGTCTCACTGTTATGTCAGCTCTAGTCCTAGTTCCTAAACCAGAAGTCAACTCATGCTGAGACTTGGAGCATAAGTCTTACCAATGATTTGGATGATTTCTGCTAGCAGAACTCCATCAGCAATGTCTTGTTGCAAGTCCTTGATCAGCCGCTTGTGGCCAGATTTTGCTAGATAGTGATTAGCCCAGTCAGTGTAAATCTGCAGAGTGGAGGGAGAAATGGGGAGAGAAAGAGAGACAATAACAATTCTTAAGACAAATGTTGGCTTGCCCGTGAGTAGAGCTCTGAACCACATTCCTGCTGAAGGAGTCAGAGCAAAAAATAAAACTTTACACATTTTAAGTCTGTCCTTGAGGCATTTTTTAAAAAAATTAACCTTGAATGAATCATTTTATTGCACAAGGAAACATCACAGTCACTGCGACCAAGCAAAAGTCCCTCTAGGACTGCCAAGAAAACTGCTATCAAAAATCTTTGTCAATTTGATCAGATTTATAGAAATAAATTGAAAATCCTGTTTCTCTTAGCACTGTGTATGTGAGTGTGTTCCCAGCTTTGATGTATGGTAGTTTACAGCACAGCTGTGTGAGAAATGGTTGCTAACCTGATGTACAGAAACACACATACATGTGTTTCTATTAGCATTATCTTGGGAAACATATATTTCAGTTGAACATATGTGTATGTGTCCATCCAGCATATCTGGAATACACCAAATTTGGCACCAAATTTGTGATTTCAGGAAACAAAGTAGCCATAGTGCTTCCAGAAATACGTATTCCTTGCTTCCCTTAAAGAGAGATAAATAAAGAATGAGAAAAAGAAGAATCCAACTGCACTGCATCCCAGTGCATTGCCTGTATGTGCAATTGTCCACATTAAAATATTAGTGAATAGCAAGCTGAGAAAGGGCTTCAGGCCTCTCAGTACATGAAGGAGAGGATGCAGGGGCGAGTGAGGCTTACGTGAACAGCATCCAGCCTTAATGTGTTTAGATGCATGCTAATGCTATTTATAAAATGATTTTCTATGTTTGGATTGAGTACCAAGTTTTAAGTCTAGATAACCAGGCAAAACTTACTTGTCATCAGTAGAAACTTGCAGCCAGCAGGGATGGAAATCACCAACCCAATGAAACATTACCAAGAGTCCATACCCCCTCCTGCACACACGCACTTCCCCCTTCATAAAATCTTTTTTCAATTGCTCCAGAATAGCTCTCCTGGTCATCCTGTTAAAGTAATTCAGCCTTTATGGAAATCCCTTATACTTTACAGGACGTTGTCCTTTCATGGAAAACGTGGTATTAGAAGCTATCAGTCAAACTGACTATATACTGTATTACTATCTAGTCATAGTAATTACTAGACAGAATTGGGCAGAATACTTATGTACACAAGATCCTGGGGAACAGAAAAGAGTGGGTGCTATTATGCTCGTGCCCTGTTTGTGAGCTTCCCATAGCCATCTAGATAGCCACTTATGAATGCTGGACTTAGATGGGACTTAGTTTCTCTGTGAGTTTATTTATAGAGCTATAATGATATAATAAGTCCTTTTTTGGAGCAGTCATAAAATAATTGATAAGGGGAAAGTATGTGTGTTTTAAAGGTTCATTGGGTTTGTCGTTCACAACCCTGTGGGTAACAATGTGTCTAGTAACAGTCACACAATTGCTTGCTCCAGCAAGACAGTTTCAATGGCCTTGTCACCTATGCTTAAATGTGCTGAAATGTCCATAGACGTTGTGAAAGTAAAGCATACACAGAAGTCACATTGTTGAAACTACTGCTGATAATCTAGGAACATGCTCTGTTGACAGTTAGAGCAAAGATGTTCACAGTGGAAATAAGTTGGCAGGAGAGAGACTGAAACGGAGATGACATGTAGAAACAAGAACAAATGTTGTTATCTGATGGGAACCCACTTCCAGGGGATAGGTGTGTTGCAGTAAAACCAGCCAAGAGCCTTGTGGCATACATTTTCATAAACTAAAATCATGAACTAAAGTCAGCTGCAGAGGGACGAAAAATAGCCATGTGCTTTATTAGCCAATGTATTCACAAACACAAGAATTGTAGGCTGAAGGAGCCCTATGCTGCAAAAGCTTTACATAAGACATCACACATTCCTCTAAATAGGTAGATGTCTAGCAGTTACAGTTCCACGTGCATTACAGGCTGTGTACATTCTTGTACAAATGCCTGTTTGAATTTAGTTTTACTTTTCCCATACATCACCATAGCAGCAGAGAGAGGTGCCTTCCAGAATTTTTGGATTACACCCCATAATATCTTCAGTCATGCTGGCTGGTGTAATGTGTGGTCCAAAGTACCTGGAAGCCACCAGATATCATGCATTTCAAATGTAGATAGGCAAGTTCTCCCAAACTCATTTCAGATTAACTGGGTAATTAATCAAAATGTTCCCTGCCCATCCCCACACAACTGGTAAGATCTCACAAGGTTTTTCTAAACCAAGCCAAAACCTAGAAAACTGGATAAAGGTCAGCTTCCATAGATGAAACGTTATCTTCTAAATAAACCCCCAAAGTATCTTTCACAGCACATTTAAAAAAAGAGAGAATAAGAAGACACACTAAGCTGAAATTCTGGCCTAGTGGAACTCCCTGAGTAACTGGTTTTTGAGCTGTCATGCCATTACTAAGAGAACCTTAATTAACTTTGTAATAAGAGGCAATTACATGTTCAACTAAGAGAAGCCTTAGGACCTCTTCATTTTGGCCACAGTGTCTTCAAAAAGCATACTGAATACAGCTAGGCCTTCCAGATGGGTAGTTCTTAATGATGTACATTCATCATTCTTCCATTATTAACTAATTGTAAGTGCAATTACTTTCCACATTGTACTTTTTCTATGTGCTATTTCCCATCCACACTTCAGACTATGATAGAGCCAGGTGGGCAGGAAAGAGAAATGCTAAAACTCATCTGAATAGCACCCACTTTCTCTTTGATTTTTTTTCATCTATTTTAAAATAAAGCTTGTCTTCTGCCTCAAGTCCCTCTCTACTGACTATTGCTACGCAGAAGCTCTCATAGGTTGACTTTCTGGACATCACAATTTATTTTATTTATTTACTTATTATTTATTTATTAAAACTTTTTTATGCCGCCCCATTCGCCGAAGCCTCGGGGCGGCTTACAAGCAATAAATAAAAGCAATTATAAAATAATTATAAAATAAATCACACACATATAAACATTAAAAATCCAAAAAATACAATATAAAATAAGCCACCCTGGCCAGATAAGATCAAATAATATTAACAGTTAAAATACCGCTTAAATAAAAAGGTCTTCGCCTGGCGCCGAAAAGCAAATAACGACGGCGCCAGGCGGACCTCTCTAGGGAGCGCATTCCATAACTTAGGCGCCACTGCTGGGAAAGCCCTCCTCCGAGTAGCCACCCTCCTAATTTCTCTCACGGGGGGCTCCCGGAGAAGGGCCTCTCCCACCAATCTCAGGGGGCAACTGGGCAAATATGGATGTAAGCGCTCCTTCAGGTAACCAGGACCCAAGCCGTTTAAGCGATTAGATTAAAAGGCAAATGTCTTTGTGACTGGTATACACAGCAAACCAATGAGGCTTCCCCCCTCCACCATGCCTGTGTGCTTGCCAGACCAGACCCTTGTCTCCTGGCCAACTGGAGGCACCAACTGGCACTGGGACAGTGAGAGGGAAACAGCTGCAGCCCATCTTGGAGACAGGCCCTCCCAGTACCTTGGCCTTTCTTCTTCCCATTCCACTCCTGCTCAGGGCAGCTTTGGGCTAGAATTTCTGGCCAGTGGACTAAGATGGACTGTTGTTTCTGGGATTAAGTCATTAGACTTTGCAGTAATTTATTTGGGGGTCTTTAGTATTTTCATTCTATTATTTAATTTTATTGCTATATGGTAGATATCTGTTTTACTGTTGTATATTCATTTTGGAAAGGTATTTGGAATGTATTGTAAAATATATTTAGAATCCCAATGTATTTGGAAGTGTATATTTGTTTTTAATGTTGGAAATGTAAACCCCAGAGATCCCTGTGGGCTATGAGTGTGGTACAAGAAGAGGAAGAGGATGATGGTGATGATGGCTGATCCAGAGACCTAACACCAATACATCCCAATCTAGTTTCATTATGTAGATCCATTTTAATCAGGCTCACTTATACTCCTTTGGTTGGCTTAGCTGACAATCTCCATCAGGAACGGGACTCAGAGCTTTTGTCCCTGTTCATTCCACGACACCTTTCAGCAGTTTTCAATACTATCAGCCATGGTATCCTTATGAAGCAGCTGCCTGAGATGCAAATAAGAGGCACTATTTTACAGTGACTCCATTCACTTTTGGAAGGGCAATTTCAGAAGATGATGCTGGAATATTCCTATTTAATGCCATTGTCCTTGACCTTTGGTGTATCTCGGGATTCCCTTCTGTTCCCCATGCTGTTTTAACATATACATGAACCCACTGGGAAGAGTTGCCCAGAGTGTGTGGCACCAATATGCTGATGGCACTCAAGTCCATCTTTCCTGACTGGTCTAGTTCTAAATCAATCTCTGATGCCAGTCATGGACTCAAGGAGAAGGAACAAACTGATGCTCGCTGCTAGACTGAACTCAGTGAAGTGACGAGGAAGCTCCCGGACTTTCTTTTCATTTGCCAGAGCAAAGTATTCTTCTATTTGATTTGGTCCGTCCTGAGTCCAGTCCCTGAGCCTTTCGTATCCTTTGTTTTGAAGCCTATAACTACTCTACAGTTTGGGCAGCAATGGTTATTTTCATTTTCCTTGGGCACAATTCAAACATGTGGATTTCAGCTCTAAAATGAGCCTGGGGGTCCAATCAACTTCCAAGAAATGTCCATATGATCCGTTCCAAGTAGCTAGATTCTCTGCTCCTTTCTAATCACTCTTCCAGTCTCCCACGTTTGAACCACTTTGTTTCCTCACTAGCCCAGAGAGGTCCATTTGTTTGGACTTGTTGCATTCAAAATCCAGTTCTACAACAAGTTCCTGTGAACTGTCTATTTTCCAATTTTGGTGACTTGCAGAGGACCGTCACAATAGGTGAACTGAAGTTTGCTAGTCCAAAGGCAGTTATCCAGCAGGGAGTCTAGAGCAATGAGGTCTTGAGCTGAAACTATTTTAAATCTGGATAATTTAAAGATCAACTCAGTTTCCAAGAAC